CAGGACTCGTGCCAAAAGGGAGATAACGTAACGAGTCCTGTCAGCGAGTGATTAGCAGCGACATCTCTCGGTGAGGTTTGTATGCTAAACTTAACCCTAAAATGCAGGCCTAAACATGCCGCCCGCCTTGCAGGATCGCTGCAATATAAAATAAACTAATTCACTAATCCAAAATTCAAAAGTTCAAATGACATCTTAAAATTCAATAAATTTATTTTTGTTTAAATGCTAACTAGTCGGTCTCTTCTTCAGCTCCAGCCATAGGGGGTTGCTCCTGATATGACCCATCCGAATATCGTATTCTGCGCGGCTGGTCTAGTGGGTGTCGCGGGCATCAAACCCGGACGCAAACTTAGCGCATACGCGTCGGCTCCCAATACCATTGATATCGCACTCGAGCGGTAAAAGGCTGGATCGGCTAAGCGCAGATTGTCGAATTCGCCCGCCACACGCGCGTCTACTGTGCGCTCTGGGGCGGTTCGCGTCAGGCTCGGTAATAACCTTGCCCGGATCTCTAACCTCTCATTCCACCCTTTCAGGGTTAAAGTGCAATGGTCACTTCCGCTGCGCGGTAATGCGTGCAACCTCCGCGCGAGGGCTCTCGCGATTGTCGATTGAGGTTGCTCTGGGTCGACGATGGCCCGAACAGACTGGCTTCTTCCCCTGGACATCACTCTTAGCAGCACCGTAGGAATGAGGACAGATGAGCCCTGAGCACGTCGGACGGATCCACGGATTCGCTCTCGGGCGTCTCTCATACCCCGGCGATGCCGCGGTTGCGGATTACGTCTTCGTTGTCGAGACTGTCGATGCCTTTTTTCCGTTGACCTGGCGGGGTGCTGTATCGCCGATCGGATACCCGACAGAGGTGGTCTGAGTACCGGTGGCTCGATCGTGTCAGGCGAACCTTCATGCACTTGCTGGATGTCTTCATCGCTGACATCTATTTCCAGTACCTCCTTACTGGACTCCGTCAATGCCCGAGCACGGTATGGGCGTGGCACGTCTTCCTCACGGCTGGGAGTTTCCCACAGATGGAGCAGACTGTGGTGCCGTTCTCGGCAGCGGTCGCAGTTGCGCGTTGACGGACAGCTACTGGCCATATGACGTGACGACAGGCAGTTAGCACAGTGGCGACACAGGAGGACAGCACGCAGTCTCTCCTCGGGCTCCATTCGACGAAGCTGGCGGCAGAATTGCAAACGGTGGTTATGCTTGCAGATAGGGCATCGATGCTGCTTTTGAGTAGCGTTGTTGTTGGCTCGAACCATAGTGTAAAATTTTTCTGAAAAGAAACGAACTCGTTAATTTGGGTTCACTAACGGCAGTCGCACTAATTTCACGATTGGTCGCGTAATTATGCCTCGCGTTGTACGTATTTCTACGACTCGCACGCGTTTATCTTGACCTAAAAAATACTTAACAACTCTGCCCAGTCGCCATTCATTCGGGGGTAGGTTATCCTCTTTAATAACCACGAAATCATCGACTTCGATGTCTCGTTGGGGGTGTTGCCACTTGACTCTCTTGTGTAACTCCTTTAGGTATTCCTCTTTCCATCGCCGGCAAAATCCTTGATGAATTGGCTTGATCTTTTGCCGTCGGTTTACGATTGACAGCGGGTTCCCGTTAATTTCTGGTTCGGCAATCGCGAGTAACGGGGTGCCAATCAGAAAATGTCCTGGGGTGAGGAGTTCTGTGGATTCGGGGTTGTCGGAAAGTGGACTAATTAGTCGCGAATTTAGGCAGGCTTCTATCTTTGCTAGCAAAGTGGAGAACTCCTCCATTGTAAAACGCATGGTATTCGCCACTTTACGGAAGTGGGTTTTAAAAACTCTTCACTCCTGCTTCTCACAGCCCTCCCATATGTGGGGCTCTCGGTGGTATGAAGTGCCAGTCGATTTCTTGATGAGCATACGACTGGTGGTTAGGCGGGAAATTTCGGCTACAAAGTTTCGGAAGTCCTGCCTTAATGCTTTATTAGCTCCTACAAAATTCGTACCGTTGTCCGAGTACACACTCCGAGGGCAACCGCGCCTTGCCACAAACCTTGAAAATGCCGCTAGAAAGGTGGAAGTCGATAGATCGCTCGTTGCTTCCAGGTGTATTGCCTTCGTCGCGAAGCACACGAAAACGCAAACATTTCCCTTGGTTATAAGACACGCTCTGCTGGTATAGTTTTTTATCTTGAACGGCCCGGTGAAATCCACGCCAGTATTGGTGAAGGGCCGGGAAATTTCCGTTCGTTCAGGTGGGAGTGCTGCCATAAGTTGCTCTCGTGTCTTTTTCCTGTAAATAAGGCAAACTTTACAATTATGTATAACGCTTTTTACTAAATTTTTCATCCGTATGATCCAAAATTCTGCTCTCAGAAGTCTCAGCATGAGTTGATTTCCTCCATGCAGGGAAATCAGATGTGAGAATCTGACTAAAAGTCGAGAAAATTGACAATCGTACGGCAAAATCACTGGATAGCGTTCATTATATGGCAACTCCGCTAGAGCCAGTCTCCCTCCAACTCTCATGATTCCATTTCTATCGAGAAAGGGATTGAGAGCGTTGAGGGGACTCTTTGCCCCCACTGGTCTTGATGCCTCAAGTGCCTGGTATTCGTTGGAGTAGCACCGCTTCTGCGCTAAGAGAATCAAGCGCATTTTTACCTGGCGGATTTCATCGGAAGTCACTTGGGTCGTTTCCTCTCGCTGGATCAATTTGTGTACGGGATGCGTTTTGTAATAAAACTGAAAAACCCGTGCTAATACCCGCAGTGCTCGAGAGAAATCTGAAAATCTTTCCAAAATGTCCGACGGCTGTGTGGTGATTGTATGAACGCGCACGGCTTTTTGCTCTAAATCCGTTTCCATGGACCTCTCATCCATCTTTTTTGGCCATTCCGATGGTTGTTCCTTCAACCACTTTGGGCCCTGCCACCAAAGTGTGCTCTTTACCAGTTCTTGGGGTGGGACGCCGCGGCTGCCGAGGTCTGCTGGGTTATCATTCGAGTCCACATGATTCCATCCTCTCACACCAACCAGTTCATCGATTTTTGCGATCCGATTCGCCACGAAAGTGGTCCAACAACAAGGAGGCTTCCTGAGCCACGAGAGCACGATGGTGGAGTCGGTCCACTTGTAGATCACTGGCTGGGCTATGTCAAACTGTGGAAGTAAAGCATTTATTAGTTCTGCCAAAAGTAGTGCCCCGCACAACTCTAATCGCGGTAGAGAGACGGTTTTTACTGGGGCTACTTTTGTTTTGCCTACAAGTAAATTTACATCCGGGGTCTTATTTGAATTACGTTCGCGTACTCTTACATACAACGCTGCCGCATACGCCTTCTCTGAGGCATCACAAAATCCATGAAACTCAATTTCATTCCAAGGTGTGAAATTGATTCACCTTGGAATTTTAATCTCTGAAATATGGATATAATTTCTAAGAAAGTTCTCCCACCGCTGGCAAAGGGTTCGAGGTAGACTATCATCCCAATCTATCTTGGTTAGCCATATGTCTTGCATAAGAATTTTTGCCTCTACCACAATGGGGCCCAACCACCCTGCAGGGTAAAATAATTTTGCCACACACGATAAAACCTCCTGTTTGGTGTAGCATGGTTTTATTGGGATCTCTTGCACGTTGAAGTGAAACATGTCGTGAGCAGCATTCCATCGAATTCCCAACATTCTCGCCTCGCTCACATCGTCGATTTCCAAAAAATCCTCCTTCAGAAGATGAGCCTTTGGCAAGGCTGACAGGATTTCCCTGGAGTTCGATGTCCACTTCCGGAGTGGAAATCCAGTTCCCTTCAGCGCATCTATGAGTTCATTGCGAGTGCGAATTGCTGCCTCGGTATCATGAGCTCCCGCAAGTACGTCGTCCACGTACATATGCTGCTTTAAAACCCTGGAAGCTAATGGAAACTGCAAACTAACGTCTTCTGTTAATTGGAGAAGAGTTCTTATTGCCAGATACGGGGCACAGTTGACACCAAACGTCACCGTTTGCAACTCATAATCCACCAGCGCCTCATTTTGGGATTCTCTGAAAAGAATTCTATGGTATGGCGTGTTATATGAATGCAGCTGAATCTGCCTATACATCTTCTCGATGTCCGCGTTGAAAACATATTTGAAAAATCGCCACTGCAATAGCAAGGCGACGAGATCGGCCTGCAAAACTGGGCCTGGGTAGAGCACATCATTTAAACTAGCCCCATTCGAAGATGAACTTGATGCATTGAACACCACTCGAACCTTGGTAGTGGTGCTGTCCGGTTTGATGACTGCATGATGACGCAAGTAGTATGTCCCTGATAAAGGTTCACTCACGGTGCTGTCCACTGGCTTCATATGACCGAACGTAATGTATTCTCGTAATACACGATGATATTCCTCCCTCAACTCTGGTCTCCTCATCATCGATGCTTCGTTGCGAACAAATTGATGCGCTGCACTCGTCCGCGAATATCCAAGACTGATATCTGCTGGGAACTCCTGTCGAAACGGTAATGCTACTACATAACGACCCTGGTCATTTCTCAGCGCTGTCTTTGCGAAATGTTTCTCGCAAAATGCGTCTTCAGGAGTAACCTGTTTTTTACTCGGAACTTGCTCAAGTTCCCAGAAGCGGGTTAGCTGAGAGCTGGAAATTTCATTGAAAAAAGACATACAGGAAGCACCTGTCCGAGTAGTCTGAGGAGCAGGAGCTGTCAA